AACTTTAACTGTAGATGACACCAGGGAAAATACCACAATTAAAAAAAATAACCCTAATAAATAGTTACATATTTCTGTCATAAATTAGTTACACAGAAAATGCCCACAGAGGCCCTTTAATATATAGGCACACCCTTACCAGAAAAATGTTCCTTTAATCTGAATATAAACCAGTCATTTTAACTTTACATTCACAAAGTGTTTAGTTTACAAAGACTAAAATCATTCTTATGTGAAAGGCAAAATGCCAAGAGATTTAACTATAAAATAAAAGTTTATCTTAGTAAGTAATCTATTTAGTGTTATCTCAAATCATAAGTAGAAATACAAAAGATTAATGGACTAAACAAAAGAAAGCCAAAATACTGTTTCAAAATAAAATTACTGGTTTCAAATATATATGGCTTTCCATTTCTACATATGAAGTTGAAAACAAATCTTTGATTTAATAATAACTTTGGAATCAGGATGTTATAGTGCACACATCTTTACTTTTAGCATTCAGGGAAGCAGAGGCAGTTGAATCTCTGTGAGTTTGAGTCCAGCCTGGTCTACCCAACTAGTTCCAGGACAGCCAGAGCTGTTACACATTGAAACCTGTCTTGAAAAACAAAAAACAAAGATCTAAAGATCTGGAATTGAGTACTTTCCTTTACAGCAGTTATTATTTAACAGCACACTGAAATATGCAATGTCTAATATACTAAGAAATATAACTAAGGAAGGAACACACAAGCAGACTCTGAGAACAGAACTCTGCTGTATTGATGTTAGTAATCATTCTAACTCCAAGCATTAAGATTAAAGGGAGTCTTGGGGAGACTTCAAGTAACAAACACTAGTTTCCAAGCACAGAATTTATTTTCCATTATTTATATTATTTAAGTTGTAAATTTTTATGTGTTCAATCCCTAATAATTCCTAAAATCTAATATAATTACATTTGAGCCCATAAGGACCTTTAGTATAAAAGAAACACCACAGACACAAAGAACGTATTAAGATATGAGAATACCCCAATTCAAGAAGTCTATGACTTAAGTCAACAAAATATTCCATGTAAGTAGGTACTTACAGTAAGAGTTCATGCTCTCAGGTTGGAAAGATTGGCTCCTTTACTAACTAGTGTCTAACCTTGGATAATCTACTTAGTCTGTGTCTCAATTAGCTAGGATAATACTATTATCACATGAATATATGGGTAAAATGAGGTAAGTATATAATGTCATTATCACAATAGCTGGCATATATTTATTCTCAAAATTATTCACTGTCATCATTACTACTCTATTACTGAAGAAGTCATTTAAGATAGAACACTTGCTTCTCATACAAGCACCCGTAAGAATCAGAGGTAGAGAGTGAAGACATGTGCTGTATACATGCATGAAATATATTAATATAGAAAGCTTATAACATAAGAGTAACCTGGGAAGGAACAGAACCTTCACTCCTTCCAGATATCAAATATTAATAAAACCTGTCAGGAACTTTTAATAAAACCAATCCACCACAATAACCAACCCAAACAAACAAACAGAGAAACAAAAAGAACATCCTTCCAGTGATATCAGGACAGAGAAAGATAGGTTTACTACTCTAAGTGGCCTGTCCGGCCATCCAAAGGACAGGTAGTAGCCAGAGAAAGTAACTGTGAATTGAACTGAATGAGCTGGAATTATCAGAGTCCATATCTATTATACCCTTCATTTTATTTTGTTTATCCCAAATAGGTTCCTTTGCTCACCTGCTTGTTTTTATTTAGAGGTGAAGAAAGGTAACACATATAGCATGCTATCAAATTTCATTCTACAGAAAACTCACAAAGCTTAAGCATCTAGTACATAATTGTGCTATGACTCAAATGCATGTGTCTGATTGTAGTACTGGAACACTAACTAATATAGCATACTGCCTTTTATGGAAAGCCAAGAGCAAGAAGGGGAATTCATAGTTAGCTTACATGTTAGACAATCAGATAACACGAATTCTCAAGAACTGAACTTATGAAAACGGTGTTCCAGCAACAATCATACCAATGTAACTGATACAAAAGAGAATACAAATCAAATCCTACAACAGGATGAACTAAAAGATAGTAGATTGTACACAAAATATTTAATTTTACTACAAACTTGTCAGCTCCTTGTGAAGTATTTTCTTTACATCTTTCTTTACTTTTCAGGATGGCAGAGAGAAAATGAACCACATAAAGCAATAAATACACTAACTGGGACTCTGTGATCTCTAGAAAGTAGATCTTACTGTCATCACTGCCTTAATAATTTGGTACTAATTTTAAAGATCAAGTTAACTATTCAGTTTACTTTACTAAAATTTCCAAGTTTAACGGTCAACAGTCCTTAATGATATTGAGCCAGGAAACATATTCTCTGCATCTGGTCTATTAGGGAAAGAAAGCAGATAATTTACATATTATAGATAGGAAAATTTGAAATTTCTCCTTCAGTTAGTTACATAAGGTAATTTAGTTTCAGGCCTCACAGTCAACTCACATATCCACTAACATGCTGCTTAGTTGGCATGTATCACATACTTTGTTTCTGTACATTAAGCATGAACAACAACAATAATTATTTGTTTTAGAAATAAAAAAGGAAATATTTGCACAGCTATATCCCCTCTGAGATCCAAAGAAATCAACAACATGAAATATATGCTCTATGTATTTATCTTCACTCAAAAGAAAAAATAAAAATGGAAAACTTCCACAGTACTTCAGGTTAAATCTAAATCAACTGACCAGATCTTTAACAGTCATGTCTGCTAAAAATATAGAAACTGGTTCTACTTAATGACATCTTTAGTCTCAAGTGAGAGGCTGGCCCTGAATGAAATAATTCAGTATATTTTCCGTATGTGTACATTTAGCTATCCTCACTGAACACTCAACTTTTCTTCCAAAAACAACCTGCTACAATTTACTGAAAGTAGTGACTCCTAAGCCGTAGCTTTTCCAACTATACTATACACAGAGGCATTTGTCACTCAGGGGAGTGGCTGGTGTGTGTGTGTGTGTGTGTGTGTGTGTGTGTGTGTGTGTGTGTGTGTGTGTGTGTGTGTGTGTGTGTGTGTGTGTGATCTTATCTATTCCTTATTACAGCTTTCATCAGAAGTACCACAACTGACAGTTGAGAAAAGCCTGGGAGGTAGTCACAAATGCACAAAGTCACATGTAGAGAGGCTGCTGTGAATACAGATTGGCTTGACTTCAAAGCAATGAAATTCTAAAATACTGGCTCATCTTATTTTTAAATAATAAAAATGACCACAAATTTTCCACGTGTATACTAGTTATAACACCAAAATAACTAAGACTTAGAAACATTCTAAAGCAACATAATATTAAAGTTAAGGGACAAAAGAAATTGATCATAATTTTCTAAACTCAAACTAAACCAAGAAAAGAAAAGGAGAGCTAATAAATCATTGGTATCAAGAATCATTGGTATCTCACGGCACACTAGATGAAACTGGTTTTTCTTGTTTTGTGCTGCCTATGTGTTTTGTGGCTGTTAAAAAATAAAACAGGTGTTTCAACTCTAAATATGTGAAGCTCATGTGAACAAGTACAGACAAGTATTTGAACAAGCACAAATTCTCTTAGGTCACTTAAGGATGGTATAATGACTACAGAAGTTTACCTATGCTTTGCCATATCACTGAAACAGTAGTAAGGTAGACTACTGGCATATTTTAGTCTACTTATCAATTACAGCAGAAGTCAAAGATTAGCTTCAAATATATAAACATGGCCTAAACATTAATATCTATAAGATAATTCTATAAGATAGATTCAGTTACAAAATTGAAATTATTTTCAAATGGTTGTATTATGAATCTCCTCAAATGATTTATAAGGACTATAAAAATTAACACTGACATTTTTAAGCATTAGGGTCTTATAACTGAATGTTATTCTTAAAGTCATCCCAACAATATAAATTTAAAAAAATATTATTTATAAAGCATATCCTAAACAAATAAACCTTTAATCCCAGCCTTTGGGATTAAAGCACTTGGGAGGCAGAAGCAGTTTATTATCTATGAGTTTGAGGCCAGTCCGGATCTACATAAAGAGTCCCAGGACAGAAAGGGCTACATGGAGACCCTGTCTCAAAAAACAACAGCAAAATCAAGGTACAGTTTATAAGGCAGGGCATATTTTTATTTCAATTAAGAATTATTTATTGTGGTAAATATCTTTGTGTAATTTAAGTGTTAGACAAAAAATACTGTTCTAAAATGTCTATATGACTGTTTTAATCTTTACCACTCCATCAAATAGGGTTCTACTTTCCAGTAACATGCTTCATAATTCTTTATATTGAAGAAACAGCCTGTCTCCATTTTAGGCTTAAAAGTCATCTTATAGTAAAGACAAACTATGTTAATTCTTGTTTATAATTAAACCTCCGTTTCTCAAGGATTGGGCTATGCCCCACCTGTAACCTTAACTACAAATGGTTCTGAACTGCCTCTTCTAGGGATGGCAATCATGTCTTTGTTTCAAAAAGTTGTTTATAACCATTTGCAACACCCTGCCTTTGTTTCAAAAGGTTATATGACCATCTATAACTACCTTGTTAAAACTACCTGTTACTATGACTATCCTGTTATTACAACCTTGCAACCAGGTATTTATTGCTGGAGGTCATTAGGAATAACTTGTTATGATGGTCAGCTCCTGTAACCTTGCCTATTTTGTCTGCCAAATTTTGGAAACCCCTTACCCATGAGCTATGTAAAAGCTTTGTCTTCCTCACATTCAATGCTGACCTGCCTCAAACCCCACCTCAGATAAGAGGCACTGTTGTACATGAATAAAAAGGCTTGCTTTAATTAATTTGGTCACAATGACTCAGGTTGGTGGTCTCTCTCCTCCCATCTTTGGGATTAACAACGTGTGAAGATTACAAGAGTTATCACCAAGAATATTACTTAGACTTCCATGAACAGGTAATCATCAGCAATCCTACCTTGTGCTGTTCAATGGCATCTATCCACTGCTGTCTGTGATCTGGGTCCTGAGCACGAAGATACCAAACACTATCATTAACACTGATGTCAAACCGACATTCATCAAAGTCATGAGGCTGGGGAAACAAAGAAGAAAGTGAAAAACAAAATTAATTATATTCTTAGAAGTGCAGTCCCCTTCAACACAAAATGTGAGCACTCTATCTGAGAGACTCCTGTTACCTTTTTAATTTTTCTACTCAAATAACTTATTTCAAGATGTCTCAGACATTGTTCATTATATATAAACTCCAAGTTTCATTTACTACTCATAGAAATGATTTGACACAATCTATAAACATCTATTCAAAAATAGAAGTGATATTGTTCGTCAAATGATTTAGGTTAGCTTAAGAAGTGGGAATATCATCACCAAAACCATAATTTACAAAATCTCCTGATGGGAGATGTCATTCTGTAAATATGTTTCTCATACTGGTTAATAATAAAGCACTGTTGGCCAATAGGAAAGGAAGATAGGAGGGACTAGGAGACAAGGAGGAAATAGGAAGTAGTAAGAAGGGTCAAGATGGAGAGTCTGGAAAGAGCAGTACGTGGTAGCTGGCTCCCGGTAAGAAGACCACATGAAAATACATAGATTAACACAAATGGGTTAATACTTAAGACAAAACTAGCCGATAAGAAAGTAGTAACTGGTCAACAGTATAATATCAAATACAGAGTCTCTGTGTGTTATTTGGGGCTGGCGCGGCGGCGGGACAAGACTGGCGGCAGGCGGAAAAACCCATACTTCTTACAAATGGCGCCCACGTGGCTAATAAGAACTTCCACTTAAAATTTAATAAAAGCTTAAAAAAGGGTTTTAAAAACAAAAGAACAGAGATATTCAAGGTTTCTTGGTAGCAGCATTTTTCTCAGTTGGACTCTAATTTGCGAGAGACAAGCAAATATTTACGCGGCTCCTTTAAAAAAAAATCTCCTGACTCAACATAAGCGACAAAAAACCAAACGGCATTAAAAAAACACTACTAACAATTTATTATGTAGGAGAGCTGTCATAGACATTGATCACATCTCCAAGCCAGCAACATGCTTGCTAGATGGCAATACAAACCAAGACAATGGACACAGCTTTCACTACTAACGGTAAAAATACCCGTCGCCATCTTTGGTAAGCCACAACAAAAACAACTATGACTTTCATTTCAACAATGTTGTTGTTTACCAAATAAAAGACTAGTGGCCAAAAAAAGATTTACAGTAAAACAGATTCATATTAAAAAAAACTTCTAAAGACTTACAATATGTTTTAAAATATATGTAAACATAAAAAAAGTGCCAACAAAAACTAAAACATTTTAAAAAGCCAAAATTTCCATAACAAATGGGCTTACATAATGAAATTTATAATCCAGAAACAAGTATTAATGATTCCTTCCAAATATTGAAAATTACATTTTACATATCTAAAACTATTTACTGCCATAAAGTTCCCAATGAACATCAACAAATAAAGCAAACAGTAAAAAATGATAACCAAAGGCTGGAGGAACGTATGCAAGAAAGTTGGAACATTAATGGAAAGGTCAGTTCTTGGTCTGGTGAGATGGCTCTGTGGGTAAGGATACTTACACACAGATTGGCTACCTGAGTTTGATCCCGGAAACCCATGAGAAGCAAGGAGACAAAAGATTCCCGAAAGATATCCCATGATTTTCATGTGTGTGCCATGCATTCCCCGCCTACCAAAATTCATAAAGAAAATGTTTTTCCCATTGAGTGAATTCAAATGGTAAGACTGCATCACATTTACTATTTTTCTATCAGGGCTGAGTCAATTTCCTCTTCTATGATCAATCTTCCCTTACAGGGGAAGGAATCCTCTCTGGATATCGTTAACAATAAACTTAATAGGTGAACAGATCTTACATATTGTACTTTCAGAGCTGAATGTTTATTTTATCCCTCTTTTTAAGCATTGTTCTGTGATCTCTTTATCAATTTATGTACCAAAACAATGTAACACTATGATGTTCTTTAGCCTATGAAGCAATTTCTCTTTAAGACAACAAGCCATGGTTTTGAATGGCAAAAAGAAACATGTCAAACATTTCCTGGATCACTATGCCCTTGGCATCATAGGAAAATGGCACAAAGCAAAGAATAACAGAAAGAAATAAAGGGGAAAAAGATGGCAATACATTCCTGAGTAAATACAAATGCAGAAAGATGAAAGGATATTAAGATAAGAAAATAAACTACAGATATCCAAAACAGCCTAACAGATTCTAGTTACTGAGAAAACTTTTTGGAGGGAATGAAACAATACTACAGGAAGCAAGCAAAGAAATAAATTATCACTCTACCGTTGTGATCAGTACAGAGGGTTAAACATCTATTCCATTATCACTTTCAATGTATTTATAGCCATAATTCTTGAAAATGTTTTACATTTTGTATTGTATTCAACATTCTCAATAAAGTTTAAGAAAAATGAAAGGAAAAAAACCACATACAATTCAGAATTCATTGCTTTCTCCAGCAAAATTTTCCATGAGCAAAAGGAAGTCATATCTAACATCAATCTAAGGAATGGGAGGCACATATGAGACACTGACTGTCGATACATAAACATGCTGTAAACACAGGATCTTTAAACCCCAACAAGTCAACAAAGTGAGAGAAACTGGGCCCATGGGATAAAAGATAGGTAGATTTGATAAGGAACATGCTTGGAAAAAATAAATGGATGATGAGAAAGCTTGACTGAATCAAGCTTCATTTTGTACATCACCCTGTTCATACCATGAACAGAATAGATTGCTTGGCTTCATTTAAACTCTCTTTTTGAGGCAGGGGTCTCATTCATAGTCCAGGCTGATTTCAAACATGTACGTCTCCTCAGCACTGGGATTAAGGGATGTACCCCAGATCCTGCCTGACCTCTACTGAAATTATTGCTTCTTTATTATGTGTAAATTTTGTTTTTAAAAATTCTACCAAAATATTTATCTTGATTATGTGTTCTGATGTGCTCTTAACAGTCTGAGGTTCACACAGTCCCTCTCTGGTCTTGGCATTAACAAGTATTACTAGAAAAAAGTGAAAGATAAAGGGTGGAAAACTTTAAGAACTGGTAAGACGTTTTTCCTCCCTATAGGGGGGGAAAGACGACTTACTTTTCTTTATAATGATGGATGTTGGCATGCACATACCATGAAGCACCTGTGAGCAGAGGACAACTTGCAGGAGTCACTTCTCCCTTTCCCCATGCATGTTCTAGGAACCAACTCAGGTCATCATCAGGCATGACAGCAAGTGTCTTTATATACTGAGCCATCTTGCCAGCCCAAAACAAGAAGTTCTTTAGAGTTAAGGCAACTTGAAATGAAAAGTTAAGTACAGCTAGTATAGTACAAGAAAAGCACACATAAAACAGTTGGAGTAGCAATAAATTAAATAGACTAAAACTCAAAGACATATAAACATTTGAAAAAATATATACATTAATAATACATTTCTATGCTACCATCTCAGTCAGTACTCTATTGCTATGAAGAGATGCCATGACTACAGCAACTCTTTCTTGTTTGTTTTCTGAGATGCATTTTTCTGTGTAGCCTTAGTTGCCCTGAAACTCTCTGTAGACCAGGCTGGTCTCAAACTCACATCCACCTGCCTCAGCCTCCTGAGTGATGGGATTAAAGGCATACATCACCACCAGCCAGCACACAGCAACTTTTATAGGAAAACATTTAATTGGGGCTGGCTTATAGGTTCACAGGTTCAGTTCATTATAGTCATGGTCAGACACAAAAACAGACATGGTCCTAGAGAAGGAGAGTTCTACATCTGGACTAGCAGGTAGCAGGAAGAGCAAGACATAGGCCTGGCTTGAGCTTCTAAGAACCTAAAGACCATCCTCAGTGACATACTTCTTCCAAGAAGGCCACACACAGGCCACAACTACCAACAGTTCACTTCCTGTGAGCCTATGGGGGTCATTTTCATTCCAAATATAGCTACATCAATATGTTTTGGTCAACAATGGGCTGCATATATTATAGTGGCCCTTAAAATTTAATAAAATTAAAAAATTCCTGTTACTTGGTGATGATGTAGCTGTGTGAATAGTGACATTAGGTAGTATTAACAAACCTATGGCGCTGCCAATTGTAAGATACAATGATGTAACAACATACACTACTTCACAAACAACTATGCTACTGGGTTATTATTTACTGTACTTTCTATGTGTGTGAACAAGCACAAGTATATCAGTATGAGTACCTGTGTGTATATATGCAGAGGCCAGAGTTTGACATGGGGAATCTTTTCATTGCTCTACACTTATTTTGTCCAGTGTTGGGACTGAACCCAGGACCCAGCCTTGGAGTCAAGTGTGCTGTCACTGAACTCTGCCCTAGTCCTTCCACCTTTTTTGGTTGTTTTTGATAGTTTCTTACTGAATCTGGAGCTCATAAACTGGCTAGGTTTGCTGGACAGTCAGTCCCTGAGGTTCTCCTGGTTCTACCTCTCAGAGCTAGGAATACAGGTATGTGCTGCCATGCACAGAGTTTTTGCACTGATGAAGGGATCTGAACTCAAGTCCTCATGTTTCACAACAAGCACTTGAGCCACTAAGCCGTTTCCCTAGTACTTGAATTCTATTTCCTCAATGTTATTTTAAAAATATTTCATCTATTTTAAAAAGGGTTGTTAAAATAGTTTACTATATTAAACAAGCAGTGGTCGCATGTATTATTTCCTAAGTCCCATGATGGATGGTATCTAGACTAGACTGAGGGGTTACCTACATAATTTAGATTTATTTATGTAAGTATACTCTCAGATGTTCAGAGAAGAAAAATGTCATGGAGTAAGACAGTTCTCAAAATGATGTTTGCTTAAGTAATGCTTGACATTACTTAAGAGTAGACAAAGGAGGAGAACTAAACTCTTTTAATGGTATTTTCAACGATAAGAAATTCCCTAAAGGGAAAATATAAATGGGACATATCAAAAATAACCTCCTAAGAACAGATATATAAACACAAGATAGTAAAGAAGAAATTCATGGAATGGTGTATGTCCCCAAAGCTGGAAATTTAGTATC